TGGGGCTAGAGATGACCCCAATATGCCCCACCTGTGGCCTTGCCCCCTCACACTGTGCAATGGTCCCACCCTCGGCTGCCAATGAAGAGAAGAACTTCCATCTGCAGCCTTACTGGCGTCAGCTGGTGCTGTGGGACCTGGACTGGGAATGAGAAGCTGTCTTCTCCTTCATCGTCAAGGCCTCCAGCAATTGCAGGTGGACACCTCCCCATGGACCCTCCCCAGCCCTCAACCTGGTTGCTGAACTCACACTGCAGGACGTGCACGTTGTGCTAGAGGACATCAATGACCAGCCGCCACGCTTCACCAAGGCTGAGTATACTGCAGGTGCAGGGGCTGGAGCCTGGGCACGAGGTGTGGGGTGGCCTCTGCCCTGCCACTTACACTGCCTGCCTGTTCCTGCAGGGGTGGCCACCGATGCCAAGGTGGGCTCAGAGTTGATCTGGGTGCTGGCCCTGGACGCAGACATTGGCAACAACAGCCTTGTCTTCTACAGCATTCTGGCCATCCACTACTTCCAGGCCCTTGCCAACGACTCTGAAGATGTGAGCCAGGTCTTCACCATGGCTAGGGGTCTGGCAGCACGTGAGTGGCCTCTAGCCATGACATCTCAGTCACTGCATGGACTGTCATCTGGAGGAGATAGGGTCTGGGGGAGCACTACAGGATATGGGTGGCCCCTCAACCAGCCATGCCAATCCTATTCATCCACCTATCCAGCAATCTGTTCTCCAGTGTATCCACCTATCCACCTCTTCATCTACCAATCAGCCCTTTCTTTTCATTCTTTCTTTTCTCAACTCATCTAATCATTACTTGTCCATCCATCCATGTATCCACACTTCTGTCTGTCCATCTATCTTTCCATCCATCTGTCCATCTGTCCTTCCATCCATTCTCTCTTCCTTCCATCTGTCCACCCATCCTCCTTTTATTCATCTATCCATCTACCCATCTTCCCATTCTCCTTCCCATAATATCCCATAACATCTCCATCCATCTTTTCATTCATCCCTCCTTCCTTTTATCCTTCCATCCATCTGTCCATCTGTCCTTCCATCCATCCTTTCTTCCTTCCATCTGTCCACCCATCCTCCTTTTATTCATCTATCCATCTACCCATCTTCCCATTCTCCTTCCCATAATATCTGCCTGTTTCTCCACTTGTGCACCTCGCCCTCCCCTATGTCAGGCATTGTGCTAGGTTCTGGGGCAGCAGGATTCAAAGAGCACATTTTTACCTATGGATGTGTATGTTTGCTTGTGCACTGACCTTTGTGGATGGCTGAGACTCTCTGGGTTAGGCTCTAAAACATGCCCCGTGAGTGTCCCATTACCTTACTCCCACCCCAACCCCTTCCCCTTTCTCCTCCATCTAAAGACTCCTCCTCTGTATACCTCATCGGTGGCCTGGCATTCCAGGCTGACTAGATCTTCCTCCTAATCCCTCTTCCTGTTCCACAGCCACCTGCTATCCTTAAGGGCCATGTGCCCATCCTAGCCAAGCTGCTTCTCATCCCCTCAGCCTGCTTGCTCCCATCCTCCTCTAGCCTTTGACCCCTCTGCCTTCATTGCCTGAAATGCCATTTTGACCCCTTTGCTGCCTTCGGATATCCCTCCCCTGCCCTTCAAAGTCTAATTCATGCACCACCTCATCCAGTTATGCGAGCAGACAGCATCCTTTTGTCCTCTGAGCTCTCACTGCTCTTATTTTAATAAATCAAGGCACGGAGAGGCTCAGTAGCTTGCTTGAGGTCATGCAGCTAGGAAGTGACAAATTTTGAGGCCAATATATTGTCTTTTAAGAGAAGACTATGCTGTGCCACCTCTGACCATCTTTTCTATGGGTGTTTTGGTTATTTTTTGTTTTTTGTTTTTGTGATAGAGTCGCACTCTGTTGCCCAGGCTGGAGTGCAGTGGCACTATCTCGGCTCACTGCACCCTCTGCCTCCTGAGTTCAAGTGATTCTCCTGCCTCAGCATCCCCAGTAGCTTCCCAAGTAGCTGGGATTATGGGCATGCACCACCATGTCCGGCTAGTTTTTATATTTTTAGTAGAGATAGAGTTTCCTTATGTTGGCCAGACAGGTCTCAAACTCCTGGCCTCAAGTGATCCACCTGCCTCAGCCTCCCAAAGTGTTGAGATTACAGGCATGAGCCACTATGCCCAGCCTTGTTT